ATAAAAATAGAAAGTAATAAAACATACTTTCTTTACTTAGTGCTAGGTAATAAGTGATAATAACTATAACTTGTTTCCAAGTAATAGCAATAAAAAAGCTCTAGTAATACCATAGCTATGTAGCAGATAATAGTAGCACATACACGAGCAAAAAAGATAAAGAAAAATTTGCTAGAAAATCTCATAAGCAAATATTGATCCTATTTCATTTTGAAAGCAACAAACCTAATTGAATGAATGAAAAATTTCACATCATTTCAAATCAATTTCGGACGTTTACTGAAGCAACATATACTTATAGAAAAGTACTTACAATGTGAAAATCAACTGACAGCCCAAAGAAAAAAGTAAAGAGACTCATAGTTGCGTGGTTTAATAAGACTAGAGTAACATTTTTATCTCATTTATGGTTGTATTTTTCATTGCATAAAAATGTAATTCATTATCTACCTTGAGAATCAACTAATTGATATCTTTGTTCAGTACAAACAAGAGCAGAGCTTAAAAATAGGCTTGAAAATGACGAAGAAACAATAACAGAAGAGAGGCACAAAGAGGAATGAGAGGAAGAAAGAAAAGTGAAGTGTCACTTCACACTTTGAAAACATGTATATGTATTTCTAGGAAGTACGAAATACACCTTTTAGGAGAAGATAAGCGTAAAAGATAAATGGAAGAATTAAGGCCGAACGAAAAGTGAAAAAAGATACAGAAACATTGATGGCAACACAAAAAGAAAACAAAAGGATGAAGTTTCTTATTTTTGTTAATGTTAGAATGGAAGAAGAACAGGAGAAATAAAAAATGAAGACAAAAGCGGATGTTTACTCAGACCGTATAACATACTCTATCACTAATAAAGTGACAAGAAAACTTGTACAATCTCATCATTTCAAGTCCCACTATTAATTCTACAAAAAATATTCTGTTTAGATCATGGAGCGAGCAAAATAGTCACTCCATGGTGCAGATTACGAGTAAGAAACGCAATGAGCAAAAATTAAAGACCACTTTAGAAAGTGATGAGGCTAATACTACCTCATCTTCAGTTTCAGAGCTGGAAAAGTCAAAAATTTCTCAAGTTCAAGTCAAGTCTGACTTGCCTTGACTGGATTTTAAGAATTGTTTCGTTGACTTGACTTGTGACTTGAAAAACGCTTGACTTGCCCAATTCTGACTCTACAATCGGGATTCTACTCCATGGATTCCCAAGCGAACATCTATATTCGAGACAATTAAAACCAGATAACACACCCATCAATATTGTTGTGCGAAATGCTGTATGAAGCTTCTTCGAATTTCGATTATCGAGAAGTTAATAGTTCATAGAAAACAAGCAATAATTACTATGATCGAGTGCAAAATATTTTTCATTTAAAAACATTTGCAATTTATCAGAATTGCTTTTCTTTCTTTTATTAGAGTAGCCAAAAAAGCTTATTAGTGCAGCCTCTTTGGGGCTGAAATGTGGAACTCACATATGTTCTCTAACCTCCTTAAACTAATACAAAATACGTAAAGTGAAAAAATTAACATTCAATTTCGTGACACTAGTATAAACAAATCATATTCTTGCTCTAATCTTCTGCAATATTAATGAAACTAACTATCTTTGAGAAAACAATTCTTCAATTTAACGTCTCATTTTAAAGTTACACAATGATAAATTCATTATGTGCAAAAATTTTTCCCATTATAATTACTGAGTATATGAGTATCTTAACTTTACATTCACTCATTTCTCTGATTCTTTTTTTTTGATCTTAGAGTTTCATCAAATGTTCTTCGCTTTGCAAACCATTGTTTTAGCCCTGTGTAACTAAAAATTATGCATATCTGCGGTTCGTACGAAACCATTTCCATTATATAACTCTGATTGTTTGGGTTTGTAATAGGGGAGTGCCTATAATGTGAGATGTCGGTAATGGGGAGGAGGGAGGAGCTCCAAAACTTCGACGTAAAACTTACACTCACTATTATTTTCTTCGAAAACATATGTGAGTTCCACAAAAGATAAATTTCTGTCAGCTGATCCAGGTAGAGGACAAACTGAAAAGTAGACATGATGGGATTTATTACTATAAGAACTGAATCAATGCATATTAATATACTTCGAAAGAACTCTATTGATTGATCATTTAGTTATCTCTCTGATTCATTATCTATTATCAACTGTACTTACAGCTGTGATGCATAAAAATGGTTACTCAGAGAGAGATATTTTTACCCTTCTTTTCTACTTTCATTTTAATTATCTTAAAAAAAATGAATGTCTCAAAAATCGTCGTTTTTTCTGACTTATCTGTGAGGAAACTAAACTTGTTTCAAAGATTTGATTAATGGATTATGTCGATTAGATTTTAAAATCTTCTTCTCATGTTAGAACATATATTTTTTGAGTTTCCGCTCTCGAGAACATGGCGTTACAGAATGGAAATTTTTTATGCGAAATACTTGGAAAGTAAACTACATGGTATTCAAGTTTCACTCAGCTGTAAAATACGATGCAAAGCTCTCAATATCGTTATTCGAGAAATCTGAATCTCCGTTGAAAATAAATAATCGTTTCCATGATTGAGTACGAAACGCTTTTCCCCAAAAGACATTTACAACTTATTGTAGTAAAGCTCTCTTCCATTACAATCATAGGAAAATCAGAAAAGTTACGTTAGAGCGTGCATGTGGATGTGGTTGAAGAAAAGACTTTTTGTCACACTGCCACACTCACCCCTATATCCCACCGAGACTGGTGCCGGTAACGAAAACACGCTACCGACTCTAACTCTGATGTACATATTGGAAACTGTCCTAATGATCTCAAAAGCACTCACTATAAATCTTAGACTGGTGAGAGTTTACATTTTATTGAAGGAAAATGCTTACATTAATTTTTCTCTATCAATGCTGACTGAGTGCACGATATTGTAAGCCACTTTTTGCGTTTCGCCTAAATCTTTTTTAACTTTCTTCAAACAATTAGTACAGAAGTAGAATTTGCGTAAAATACGTCAAAATCAGTGTGTGGTCTTTTACAATGACTGAATGGTGATTGAGATACACTACAAAATTGGCACCATTTAATTGGAAAAATGAGCATCCATAGACAGTATCTGGCAAATAAAATTGTATCAGTGCATTGAGATGTAATATGTAAATAGCAAGTTTTAGAATTTTTGGATGCTTCATCTTTTTGTATATTACATGACAATTTAACTAATATATTTTTATCCTAAAAAGCTTTACTTCATTGAAACTACTTTTTATGATATTTTGTGGAACGCCCATATATTTTCGAAGAAAATAATGAGTATAAGTTTAAAGTAAAGGCTTCACGGCTCCTTCCCGTCTTCCATTCCCTCTTTCCTCATTACAGACGTTAGAAACCGAAGCTGAAGGTTATTGAGTAAGTCTCCATAGCAACCTCAGGTGTAAATCAATCGTTTTAATATTGTTACCACTCGTAGTTACTCAGGCAAAAATAAGTGGTTAATAGAGAACAACATTGGTTAAGATTTTAAGGTCAAAGACTAAAGTAAGCAAAGGAAAGAGTGTAGAATTAAGATACTAATGCGTGCACTTCTAATACTGAGGCAATGTTTAATGTACAAGAATGTATGTGAATGTCACATTTCAGTCCTAAAATGGCTGTGCAAACAAGCCTTTTCATCTGACCTGATGAGTACTCGAAAGTCGAGTCGGGCTAACTCTTAGCCAGCTCACCACATGCACTAAACATTTCGATTTAGAGCTTTAAGATGATGCTGAATAAGGTGAGAATATCGTTTCAAAAAATGGATTTCAACAGTACCTCGATATTTGCCATGTTCTTCGATGACATTATGGAAGCTCTCTTAATTACTTTTTTGATTTATTGACTCAAAAAGTAAAGTAAAATATTGCAACTGTTGCAGATGTATATTGAAGATATATGGAAGCAAGTATAGACATAGAATATAGAGTACGGAATAGGATACGAAGCACAGCTGTAAGACAACAAATTTAGATTGGTAGTGATATGATCAAAGGCATAGGGTGAGGAAATTAGACTATAGAGTACTAATACAGAATACGAAATATAGAATACTACAAATAAGATATGAGGCACAGAAAAGAGAATTTGGTATACGATTGTACAGAATAGAATACAATTGTTGATGATTGTAAGTGCCAAACAGGCAGCCTCCTTTTAAACGAGATTTCCCTCCATATTAGGAATGTACTTTCAGGCATCATTGCTAAGACTAGTGAAGCCGGTGAGTGCATGCGAAATCTTTAGTGATGCCCGATTTTCCCCCCATTATCTTCGTCGTTAATCTCTCCGTGGTATCACTTCTACATATGATCACAGATATATTGGATCCTAGTACTGAATATGGTTGTATACAAATTTTCTCTTAATTAATCACAGTATGTAGTTAAAATCGCCATCTGTGGAACTTCCATCTAATTGAACGCAGTATTATTTGCTTTTAAATTGAAAATAGATTTGCTATGACTGAATGGCAAAAACGTTCAACACGCACTACCAATGCGGTGTGTTTGAGTTTCAACGCCACCAAATCAGGAATGGTTGTGGACAAGTGACTAATGGATAGTTGTCTCGGATCACTCGCACGATAACATACTGAGTATGTAGTATAGATGCACCAATCCTTGCAGCTAGTTGATGGTTAGTTAGTATGCACGATAGGTTCAAAAATTTGAATGAAAGAACACTGATTTAGATCGGCCTTCTGTCTAGAGCTACAGCTAGTAATTAACTGTAGGAAGAATATATTGGGCTAACGAAACTGTTCTAGATCACCATACTATACTGCAAGATAGTCAAAACATGGTGATTTTCTTCTTCTACTTCTTCTATGTTACGACTTTGAGCAATCAATTTGTCGAGTTCATAGTGGCTTCTAGAAATCTAACAACTGTAGTTAGGATTTTTTATTCAAATTTTACAAACTTCATTTTTTTATATCTTTTAAACTTATCAGATCAAATAATAATCAATGCAATTTACAAAGCTTGAAATTCCTGATGTGGTTCTGATTGAACCACGGCGTTTGGAGGATTTCCGCGGTTATTTTATGGAAGTTTTTCATGAAAAAGTTTTCCGAACACATGTGGCTGATGTCCATTTTGTACAAGATAATGAAGCAATGTCTACAGCGATAGGAACAGTTCGAGGATTGCATTTTCAAAAACCGCCTGCAGCACATGGCAAACTAGTTCGTGTTTTGAATGGCGCAGTTTATGATGTTGCTGTCGATATTCGAGATGGATCACCCTTCTTCGGCAAGCATGTTGGACTCATGCTCGACGCCTCCTCTGCGAAAATGCTTTGGATACCACCTGGATTCGCACATGGATATTGTACATTGAAAAGCGATAGCATCGTTGCCTATAAGATAACGGATTTTTACAGTGCTGAACATGATGCTGGTATTGTCTGGAATGATCCTGATCTTGGAATCAACTGGCCGGTGACCTCTAATGATGCTATTTTATCAGACAAAGATCGTTTGCTGCCAACATTTACGAATATACCATCGCTATTCACCTTTCAAGAAAATCTCATAGAAAAAACAGAAGATCCATATAAAATACAAGTAAATAGCTGATCGTCATCAAATTCTACTACCATTGATAATGGCATGGATAGTTAAAAAACATTTTATGAACATTTATGTTGTGTACGTGATATTGTACTAAACGCCCTTCGAAGAAAGCAGAAAGAAAATAATTAGATTAGGACTTGCTCGTTAATTTTTCCTTTGACTTCGTGACTGGAAGATATACACAGTAAAAAATGTTTATCGATGTTCCATGAGGTTTTTAACACAAAATACACAAGTGTCCTGTCCTCAAATCACATGAAACTTTTGCCGTTTGTAGACCATAGTGTCCTGATCTAATCCCTGCAGCAGATTTTGTGTACTGACTAAGAAACCTATAAGCGTATATATATGGAATTTGGTACATTCCATGATTTTATATGGAACCGTGAATATTAGAATCTAGTAGAAAATGACTATATACATGAATCTATCCCATTATACTTATAAAGTATCAATTATTTATGATATTTTCTGCTTCTTCTTCATCTCGGCTGCAACATACTATGGCATTTTGAATGTTTGGAACGTCGTATTGCTAGTCATATATTAAAGACCATTTCCTGAGCGATGCTAAGCATGCTTGAGCCAACAAAACGTTGATGAGTTTTGAGTTCAGGAGCATAGTCAAATAAAGAGTTTTCTAGAGAATCACTCTGTTTACAATATGTACAAAGCCCGAGTTGCCGCATTGTTGTCTATGGGGTGTAAGTGGAGATGTGGATATGGGTTTGTTTGGATGAGTGTAGGTATGGTTGGTACGCTGCATGGCTAATATTTTTGATCACGTCTACGATCACAATAGCGAAAAAAAATTGTTCGTGAATACGTCATGATCACGAACACGTTCACGCAGAATCACGAAAAAAAGGTGGTGTCTAACCATTCTAAAAGAAAAGTTGTTTACTGTTTGACACTGCTATCGATGTTGTTTACTCTACTGAACACAACCATCACGAACAGAATGAGACAGTGAAAGTTGCTTGTTTTCAGTATCCTACAGTATTTCGAATGGCAAGTATACACAGCGACAGCAAAATGTACAAAATATGTGCTGCTGGTGAAATACACACTCCTGTATACTTTCTCTAAAGAGCAGTGTGTACAATGTATACTTTGCAGAAAAAATTAAAACTTTCCTTCTAATATACTGAAAGTTATTTTGAATTTCAAAAAATGTTTTATCTGTGTGCAGAAGGCGGCCTTTCAGATGAAATTTGCATCTATGTTTATTGAAATACTATGAACACTGTTAAACACATTCGAAACGATGAGACTCACTGGTGGACGACAGTATAAGGTGGCCCAAAAGTTTCTTTAACATAGAAAAAATTGAACATCTCTACCGTATATTGATCAAATAAGTTAATTCTTTTACCGCTGATAAAGGGATATTCATAGCTCATATTCATAAGAGAAACGTTGATAAAAGCTGTTTTGAAGGATTACAATTGTCATGAATGAAGAAGTAGTACCTTTTACTAGTTATGAGAAAACAATATTCACATCAACGCGAATGTATTAAATTTCTATTTCTTTACTGTCTATGAAACTTCATTTTTCAATATTTTATCTATGCAAACAAGATGGATATGGGTGTGGGTGTGGGTGTAGATGAGTGTGGATGTGGGTGCAGGTGTAGAGGGTGTGTGGATATTTTTTTCATACGCATCCTTCCACGCTCGTGCCTAGATCGACACGAACACGAACATTCTTCGATAAGCTGCTAAATTTTGCTTGCATGAAAAAAAAATGATCAAAATATGTGACGTTTTCACTATAAATGATTATAGGGCAACTGTCTGTATAGCGTTATAGACTAATAGAAGTACTAGGAATAGACAGTTGTTATATTGTTAGATAGACACTAGAGATATGCATTTAGCGTAATTAAGACAGATGACTAATCCTTATATTATGATGTCGAACGGTACATCCAAAAATAGACTATTCTTGTTGTTTTCTCATTTTTCACTTAATCTCGCATTGGTCCAATTATTATATGAGTAATATAAATGAGCTGATATTCTGATGTGCAAAATTTAATTACTTTGTATTACACGCCTATATTTGCAATTTTAATTATCGTTTGTAGTTGTGGGTAAAAGTCAATACCATAAAATGATGAAAAATCATCAAAAACGGTCATTGTACGTAACAAACTGGTATTATATGATTCCAAAAAAACATGATGATGATCGAAAGATAGTAGAATCTTATTATCAAAGGTCATAGGGTATTGAGATTTTCAATCCCTGAAAGTTTCAGTTTGGATGTGGAATGTTACTGTAAACATGAAAGATTCCCGAAGGAACTGTTCCATGGTCAAATGTGATTATGCTAAAAATCTTACAAATCAGTAAAAAAAAACGACACTTTCGAATAGATGTAATCAGATGTAATTACAAGGATTGCTGTAGCAATAGGCATTATATATTGTCTTGTGATATTCAATGTCTAGTCAATTGCCATTCTCATGAGAATGCTAGAGTGTTAGAGTGATAAAAAGTGTACCAATTAGATGACGTTGTGAATATGATAGTGGCAGTGGATTAGGTTATCAGCAAATTGAGGAAATGAGAGTGAAGATGAATGGCTAAGAGATGCCACTTGAACTTACTGCTCACCCTCACTCACCATCATCTATTCTCATCGTTATCATGGAAATAAGTGAATTTGTTTCGTCTAAAGACGCACCATTAGTACTGATGAACATGTGCAAGGATAAAAGATAATTTGGTATTCATGAATATCATTATATTCTTTCTTAAGTAGAATCTGTTTGTAAAGTTTTTTCTCACAAGCATTTAGTACTAATCACAAAAAATGGCTGCTTGGTTTAGTCAGGATACCATAATGTCCCATTTTTAGTACACGAGTGTCCCATTTCGACTAGATGTTCGATTGTAGCTCGGTTGCTGTGATAGTAATCCAACTTTGTTGCGGCAATATGTGCACGTACTACTTCAAATAAATCATAGTCCGCCGTTTTCGGTCCTCCAAAATTCTTCGGAAAATCCCATTGTCCACGATATCGAAAACCTCGAAAAACTTCCATCTTCCATGACCAAGAAGAATGCAGTATATTTCCGCCAAAAGTCCCACGCCAATTGTTGACTCTATTTTGTGGAACTATCATAGGTGGATATGGATTACCGCCACCAAGACAAAAGTATCCTTTAGTCCATGCGAAAACGACCGATGGAAAGCGCATGAAG